TCTCTCGCACCCTGCCGCAACGCCCCATGGGTGCGAGAGAGAGGGAGAGAGATCCACCCGCGCGGAAGCGGCGCGCTGTGAATCATTGCGACTTCTCGGGTCCAGGACGTTGCCGTAGACTCCGTCAAGACTCTCCGAAAGCCCGACTGCAGACTGCACACACGAACAGAGGGACACGAGACCTCGGCCGAAACAGAAGTGAGTAAGGAGCGGCGCGTCTTTGCTTTTGCCGTCTTTTCTTTCAAGGCTCGGCCCAGGGCGGCCCCAGGGCGGCCCCAGGGCTTGCCGCTCGGCTTGCCGGCCTTGCGAGATGCGAAATGTTTCCGTCGCGGGCCCCTCGCCTCGCCTTCCAGCCTTCCAGTGGGCAGGTGGACGGACGCCCCGCCCCGCCCCGCCCCGCCCCGCCCCGCCCCGCCTTGCTCGCCGTGCATTCCGGCCCCGCTGAGCCTGAGCACGCCGCCAGGCACGCGGCCACGCGGCACGCCGAGCACCGCGACGACGGGGCGACGTCGGCGACGACAGGAAGGACTAATTTGGCGGCCGACCCAGCCGTGCCGTGCCGTGGCGTGCCGTGCCGACGGCCCGACGCACACATGCGCTGCGCTGTCGCTGCGCTCGCGAGCCCGCCCGGGTTTCGCCACCGGCGAAACGGAGACAGGCAATTCCGTCTCGTTTGCGCGCGGAAACACGACAAAACGGATTGCGCAAATCAAAAGTGGCGTATGGCGCGCGCGGCCCGCGCTCGTTCGTCAGCCGTCTTACCGCGGCACGGCGCGGCACCGCGATCCCAGCCAGCCGGTTCATGCCGCCCTGTCTCCGTCTGCCTCCCACTCGCAGGCTTCGCAGGCAGACGGCAATGGGAGCGACAGAGGCGCCGTGTGGGTGCGAGGCGGTGCGAGGCAGCGGGCTCAACTGCGTTTCGTCGCTGTCTCTCTCGCACCCGTGCGCGACGGCCCGCGAGCGCGAGAGAGACAGCGACGAAAGCGCTGTTCGGCGCGGCGGCATGGATGGAGGCAGCGGGGCAGCGAGGCGTGCCCTGGGTCCCACGCGCCCCTTTTAAATACCCACGCGTCCAGTTCCTGTGGGCCTGGCGGCCTGGCGGCCTGGCGGCGCCGCAGCACGACGACGGCACGCCGACCACGCCGACGCCGAGGTCCGGCCGGGCATTCCTACACCACCGCGACGCATCGCGGCATCGCCACGGCATCGCCATCGCCCGGGTCCACTACAAGACCGACCGAGCGCCCGCCGCCGACTCCCAGTGTAGACTCCCACTCGCCGGGATGCCAGGCAACCCAAGCAATGGCACACTTCTGGAGCCGCGCCCGCCTGCGCCAACCGGCCGCACTACACCATGCGCGTGCACCAGACAGGCGAGCGAGTCGGGAATTGAAGCCGCGCGGCGAGTTATCGGACGCGAAAACTGGGGAACCAGCGTCGAATTTCGCTGCTTCTGCTGCATGCTGCGCAGTGCTCCGCGCTCTATACAGCGGGCTGAGTTCGCGGAAGTCCCCGCCGCGCTGGTGGCGATCGGTTTCAGCCGAAAAGTTGAGGCAAATGGGTAAAAACCGGAGAGCCGAGCGATTCCGGGAGAACCGCTCCACCTGTCTGTCTCTCTCGCACCCCTACAGAGTGCGACGGAGACGGGTTTTGCAGTGCAGGCGACGCGGCGGGGGCGAAACTGCAGGGCGCGACTACCAGCGAAGCAGCCGGCTGATTCCGAGAGCCGTTTTTGTCGCTGTCTCTCTCGCACCTACTCGGGACGCTCCACGAGTGCGAGAGAGACAGCGACAAAAACGGCTCTCGGAATCAGTCTGCAGGCGGCGTCCGAAAGCAGCAACGTGGACGGGAAACCCAGCACGGCGTCGTGGGGTCGCTCGGCGTCGTGGGGTCGCTCGGCGGACGCGCGCATAGTCGGACGTCGGGGCGGCAAAACTTGGCCAGCAAACTGTCTGGGGCGCGGCGGCGCGCCGGCAAAAGCGACGGCCGACTGCACTGCAGGCCAACTGCACTGTAAGTGCAGGCCCACTATGCGGACTTCCAGTGCTGCAGTCTGCAGCGCTGCAGGGGAAGTCCAGTGTCGTAAATACTCGACTGCGGCGGGGGGCACGACGGCCGCGCTCGCTCGCGAGGAAACTCGACTTCGGCGGCCAAAGTCAGGACGGGCGCGTGTTCGCTGTCAATAACCGGGGCGTGAAACACGCCAACTTGGCGGACTTGACGGTCGCGGAGTCGCAGACCATCGCGGACGCGGCGGTCGCACCACGTCGCGTCGCCTTACAGCCTTACAGCGCGCACGCGTGGGACCGCGGGGCGCGTCACAGTGGGCCAGAAGACCGGTGGAGGCGGACAAAACTCTAGACGCGTATTCAGCTCCAGAGTGGCTAAATGGTCCTCGAACCGAACGTGTGACCCCACCAATGGATTCCTCGTTCGGAGAGCAATCCATGGGTGGGGTCACACGTTCGGTTCGGGCCCCATTTAGCGTCGCTGGAGCTCAAAACGCGTCCAGAGTTTTGACCGCCTCCACCGGTCTTCTGGCCCACTGTGGGCCGGGCCCAGCGGGGATCAAATTCGATTGGAGAGTCCCGCGGGAGCGTGTGCCCGTCACGGCCATGCAGGCCGGCCGCGTGGAGCCGCGCTAATTGGATTGCCCGCTCGCTCTGTCTCTCTCGCACACATGGAGCGTCACGGCGGAGTGAGAGAGAGGGACAGAGGGCCAGCCTACAGCCCGCAGCACACGCCGGGCCGGGAACCGAGGCGCCCAATCCGAGGAGAAACAGGACAGCGGACTGATTTTGAACAGTGCTTTCGTCGCTCTGTCTCTCTCGCACTCGTGGAGCATCCCACAGAGGTGCGACAGAGACAGTCTCGAATCAACCTGCAGCGCACACGACGCGCCGCTTTGGGGCGAAGTGGCGTCGGTGGGTGCCGCGCCGCCTCCCACACACACACAGCCACACACACAGCCACACACACAACCACACACACAGCCACACACACAACCACACACACAGCCACACACACAACCACACTTGAGTGAGACATGCGGGGGAGCCATCCTGTCCGGAACACCCTCGCAGCGGCGCGCGGAGGACTTCCTCCAGCCGTGACGTCACCGCACCAACACAGTCGCGCGCGCACACACAAGGCAGGGTCATAGGGCTCGTGCATTGGCGTACCGTTATGTCACTGCCGGGTAAAGGACACGAAAACGTTCTCTCGCGAACTGAGTCTGGAGCAGCCGACGCCAAAGAAATTGATCGAATCTTGCAAATTATCTGCCTCTCGAGCAAAACAAAACGCTGTCTAGAAACAGAAAGTTTTGCTCTTTCACCCAAAGTGCTTCAGAGAGCTTAGTTGATACTTTCTGAAACTAGGCTTGACAGAAAAGAGGCGCGGCAGTTCAAACAGGGCTGGAGGGTCAGGCCACGATTTACCACCTTTATTCGAACCTTTGAAGGAAATATTGAAGAATTAAGGTTACGGAGTACTGTTTGTGTGCTGAGGAACGAACTCTCAACATAGATCTGGTAAAAAATCATCAGGGTTTTTAAATATTGCTAGTTTTGAGCGTCTACTGGCGTCGTCTGCTGGTCTCAGTTCGTGAAATTGTCATACTTTCGTACCGCCATATTTCGCGTAATGAACGAGCCCTATTAGTCCGATCCAGGAGGTGACACGCGTCCATTCTCAATGGGAAGCCGACCATCAAGTCGACCAAACGTCGCGCTCCGACTCCGCGTCGCCGCGATTCCTGGAAGGCAGGAAGACGCGTTCTAAGACCACGCGGCCGGCGTAGCACAGCGCGGCACAGCGTGGCACCCAGGCACGCATGGCCGTAATGACGACCACCAATTACGACCATCTTTCCCGACTTATCTCGCACGACTTGGAGCTTCGTTAGGACGAGTACTTTCAAAGCTGCATTCTGAAGTGCGCTTAAGATCAGTTCGAGTGCGCTTAATGCACCTCTAACTTGAGGAGCACTGTGTTCGGGACTCCCAGGCTGTGAAACGGCTCGGCCCCGGCGTGGGCTCGAACACCGGCCACTCCGCCGCCCTCGTGTGGGCCTGGACCACGGCCTGATGGACCTGCAGGGCGACGTTGGCTCGGCTGCTGCGGCCTGGGGCTCGAGGGTCGGGCCGGCCTGCACGGCCTGCCTGGCGGGCCGGGGCCGGGGGCCGGTCTTGTCTGCCAGCTCGCCTTGCCGCCTGGGCCCCGCCGAGACCGAGAGCCGAGCTGGTGGGTTGAGGAGGCGGAACAGGGATCAGGGCACGGCCAGGGGAGGGGAAGGGGCAGGGGCCTGCCGACGACGGCAGCACGGCAGCACGGCCGGGGCGTGGCGGGGCGTGGGGGCTTGCCCGCCAGCTCGGTCCGCCCCGCCGGCCTGCCTTGCCTGCCTGCACTCTGTTGCACTAGTGTGTTCAACAGGGCTGCGGCTGCGTCCGCTGCGAGCCCAAGGCAGCCCAAGGCTGTGCTGGCCGTCCAGGTTGACTACCTGTCCGCCAGCAGGGTCTGCCCCGCGCACTGTTCATCTTCACCCCGCTTTGTTTACCAACAAGGCGAGGCTCGCGAGGCGTACGAAGGAAGCGGGATTCGGGCGTTGGAACGTCACTGGACGTGCCTGGGGCGGCCTGGGGCCGGCGGAGGTGCGATGCGGAAAACAAGAAACATAAAATAACGAACGAGTCGGATGAGCCCTGCCGTTGCCGTGGCCATGCCGTGGCCCTGCAGGCGGCCAGCCCGCAGCCAGTCGGCGGCCAGACGGACAGGCAGGCAGGAAGGCGGGCAGGCGAGCTGGCAGCCAGCCACGCCGCACCGCGCGCACCGCGCCCCGCCTGCCGCCGAGCCCCCCGCGGGTCCCTAGCGGGGGCCGGGGGCCGCGTCGGCCGCATCCCGCATCCTGTTGTGTTGTGATATCCAAGCACCTGTAAACTCACTTGAACCCCGCGTTGCGCTGCGCTTGGCCGCAGCCTGGGATGCTGCAGGGGACTCACCTTCCAGACACACCACTTGACAGCCGTCCTGCTTCAGTCTTCGCGCCACCACCTGCAGCGTCTCGCCGGGCGGGCCCGCGTCGTCGGCGTACACCACGAACACGTTGTCCTTGTAGGCGGAGGCGATGCGGTCGCGCAGGTCGCGGCACTTGATGGTGGACACCAGGTCGATCTTGCCGGCGCCGAGCCGCCGCAGCATGATGCTGGGGATGCTGAAGTTGACGGCGTGCCTGATGTGGGACTCGGCGTAGTCGTGCGAGGAGCGGCAGTCCAGCGTCACCAGGCGGGACGCGTCGGCGCGCAGCTCTCGGAGCAGCCAGTCCCGGCTCACCCACTGCATGGTATCACTGTCCATCGGCATGGTGCTGGTTGCCGCGGCTGGCGGTTGTCACTCGCGGGGCTCGGCTAAGCCATGGGCGCGTCCACGACGGGTCGGGCACACTGTCCGCGGACGCGGCTGCGATGCGATGCGACGAGCGGCGGGCCGAGCAGCGAAGCGTGCTCTGTGGGGGCCTTCCGCGCTGTGGCGTGGAGCGGCGGCGCGGCGCGGGCGCGGTGCGCTTAGAGGGCCCCCACTCCTCTCGAGCCCCCTCCCTCCCTCTCCTCGCTCGCCTTCCTTGCCGCGCGGCCGGGCCGTGTCGAGCTGCGGCGCCCCCTCCCCACCGCCCCCCCCCCCCAGTGCGGCTTGCCGGGCTTGCCGTCGTCCACCCCTTTCACCCTAGCGCTGCCAAGCCAAGTTCATTCAGGACCTCCCCACGACACCCCGGCTGCCACGCTGCCACAGCGGCCCTTGCGCCCCACGGGGCCCTGCGGCCCCGCGCAGCCCTGCGGCCATGCCTGCGGCCCCACGGGGGGCAGGGCCGGCAGGTCGAGGCGCCACTCCGGCAGGCCCTCAGCCGCCCTCGGCTAATGAATGGAATGTCTGCATTCCTGTGGGAGGCAGGACGCCGTCCTGGAGTCCTGGGGTCCCGGACGGGCTGCATCGCCAGTGGCCACCTCGCCCGCCGCCCGCCGAGTCTCGTTTTCGTCGCTCTGTCTCTCTCGCGCCTGCACGGGACTACGGCACGCCGCACGCGTGCGAGAGAGACAGAGCGACGATAAAGACTCTCGATCAGTGTGCAGGCTCCGGGTCCGGGACTCCGGGACGCGCCGCTGCGGGTCGGGCCGTCGCGTCGCCGGCGACTCGTCGGGCCCCAGTGTAGTGTCCCACTCGTTGGACCTGTTGCTGTCAAAGAGTCGTCCGGACCAATAACGGCGAGCCAGCGTCCGGCTGCTCCGCTGCTCGAACGCTATGCCCCCGTCGCTCTGTCTCCCTCGCACTCGTGGCACTCGTGGGGCGTCCCGTGCGGGTGCGACAGAGACAGGGCACTGAAGAAGCGCGTCGTCGTGTCTTTGTCTCCGACGGGCATTCTGCCGATTCCGAGTCACGCAAACAGTTGTCGAAATCGGAAACAACGCTCGCAGCGAGTCGGCCGGACGGGCCACAGTCTCGCGCGCAAAGTGCACTCGCTACTAACAATGGCGGTGGACGGCGGGGAATTGGAGAACGGAGGCAAATTTCGAGGAAGACCCTCGCTAATTACGGCAGACCACGCAGACTCTCGGAGGCTGCCTTGCCACTGCCACCACACTGGAGGGGAGGGAGGGGGCGACCCGTAATAAGAAGACAAATATTCTTCGGGCCGTGCGGCACACTGTGCGGCCGTCGACTGTTGCGTGCTCCTCGGAGTTTGTTCCGCAGCCCTTAGTCGGAATTCGCCGTGCGGGCCTGCCCAGGGCCTGCCCAGCAGGCCGATTCCGAGAGGCGTTTTCCTCGCTCTGTCTCTCTCGCGCCTTTCAGGGATGTCCCACGAGTGCGAGGGAGACAGAGCGACGCGAGCGACTCTCGGAATGAGTGTGCTGCAGGCAGCCCAGCCCTCTGTGCCCTTCGGGGAAACGGAGAGGGGAGGGGGTGCACTTACTGCACCTACTATGTATGCCGAGTGCAGCCAAGGTGCAGCGGCGCGGTCGCCCGGGCAACACTGCAGACAATGCAGTGGCCAATTCTTTTCTAGAGTGATCGCAGCGCCGTCCGTTTCTCGCACGTTCTAGCAGCAGTGCCATTTGTTTTTGTTTTTTTGTTTCCGCCGGCGCCGCCAAGCGGACTGAGTCCTTGGTGACGCCGCGGACGCCGACGACGCCCCGCTATCTCTTATCAGCGCCAAACGGGCCGATAAGAGCGAGCGTCGCGACGCCGGCCCGGCCCGGCTATGAATGGAACATTTTAATTCAAGATGCGCCATTGAGTAGGACTGCCAAGTCACAGTGTTGCCACCAGAAGACTAACGCCGAGATCGGAAGGGTTGCCAACCTCCGCAGAGGCAACCTCTCGGGAGCAAGCCCTATGCGTAGCCGGCAGGCTGACGTTGGCAAAACTGCCGCCTTTCCTCTTCGCCGATCTGTTTTCCCGGCCTGTTTGCATTTCTGGAGTCGAGCGCGCGGCTCGAGTCTACCGCTCCGCCCGGGGGTGGTTTGTGTTTGCGTCTCGGGTGGCGCGAGTGAGCGAGAGATAGAGCGAGGGCGGGAGGGGGCGGAACGGGGAAGGGGGATGAAATTGAGTGCCCAGGACCGAAGTCACGTGTGCCCTATCCGTAAATCAATCTCCAAGGAAGTCTGTGAGACAATCCCCTTAGCAACGACCCCCACCCCCACCCCCACCCCCAGCCTCAGGCAGGCTCTGCGTAGAGTCCCCCTGAGGTGTGCGGCTCGCTGGGCTGCCGAGCCATTCCGAGTCTTTAGTACATCTCTGTCGCACTCATGGCGCTCTCCGTAAAGGTGTGAGGGAGACAGAGCGCGCGGCGGCCCTTTCTGAATCACTCGGCTGCTGGAACACTTTGGAACGGGGTGCCGAACGAGAGTGGCAATGGGCCGTGCAACGCACTTGGGGAAGTCCCATGGCTTTCCTGTGGTACAGTCTGCCGAACTCGTGTGTCATTCGATGCGAAATTCGAGTGTGGGTGTGGCATCCAAGTGCTACGCATGGCGTGGTTCAGTGAGTAGTAGTCCGCTTACGTAGATGACGTCGTCGTCGTAGTGTCCTTCGTGGATTGGACGAGACGATTGGCTGCTATCACGGCGCCGCTGACGCAAATGTGACGCCTCCTTCCCTCCCCTCGAGGCCCTTGGGGCCCTTGAGGTGTCACGCATGGAGTCGCGCTGCTTTGCTCTGCCGACTTTCCGGGGTGACGGTGTTGGCGTCCCGGTGACGAGTCGATACACCGCAAGGTTCCTTATCACAGTGCAGCGCCGAGACAAATGACGTCGACGTCTCTTTGGTTTGGTGTTTCACCCGTTTCGACCCTTGACGTCAATCTGCCACTGCCTGCCCAGGCTGCCCAGCCAACCCGCCCCGCCCCGCCGCGGGCGCGGAGACGCTTCGCGGAACCCCCGGACAAATAAGGGCGAGCCCCGTCGACCTGCAGAGTGATTCCCCGCGCAGTTCTCTCCGTCCCTCTCGCACCCCTGGCGAACGCCTGGCGAACGCCTGTCGAACGCACCACGAGTGCGAGGGAGACGGGGCGACGAGACGAGACCGCTGTTCTCGAGGCCAGCCAGCCCCAGCCAGCCCCAGCCAGCTGGCCGCCCGCTGGCGTCCCTTTCACAAAACTGCAGGCTTTCCCAGGAACTGGCCACTGTTTATCAACAGCCCTGCCTCGGTTCCGCGGAGAGGGGGAGAGAGAGAGGGCGCACAGCTCAGCGTGCTTCTTCATCATCTCCATGATGATCGCGCTGCAGCCATTTGGACGGCCGGGCTACGCTTCCAGGGAAGCAGCGAATGGAACTGGAAGCCCTCCAAGAGGAAACTTTCCGCCGGGGCGGGAAAGCCGGGAGAGGGGGAGTGCCATTAAAGATTGAGCCAAGCAGGAAGGGGTTGGCTGCCGTTACAGTACAACGTCCTCCGTCCTCCAAAGCCAAGAATCCCGTCTGTTTGTGTTTTATTTTTGTTGCCGCGGCGTTGGCAGCGCGTGATGGATGGGTGTTTGAATTTTTGGCGCGCTTTTCGCTGTTTACCGCTTTTTCTTTTCGCGCCACTTCGCGCCTGCACGTCCCGCACGTCGTGCCACGTCGTGCACGTGGGGCAACAGGGCCGGCAGGGCCGGCAGGGCCGGCAGGGCACGCAGGGCGGCGGCATCGATCGAGCGCCTTACTGGGTCATGGTGGCTGTGGCAGCCCTGGTGGCAGCCCTGGTGGCAGCCCTGGTGGCAGCCCTGGTGGCAGCCCTGGTGGCAGCCCTGGTGGCAGCCCTGGTGGCAGCCCTGGTGGCAGCCCTGGTGGCAGCCCTGGTGGCAGCCCTGGTGGCAGCCCTGGTGGCAGCCCTGGTGGCAGCCCTGGTGGCAGCCCTGGTGGCAGCCCTGGTGGCAGCCCTGGTGGCAGCCCTGCATAGCCTCGCGGCAGGCCGAGCGCAGCCTCGGCTAGCCTCGCGCAGGGCCTGCTGGCCTGCTGCAGGCAACCGAGCGGAAAGTGATCCGCCGGTCAGGTCAGGGGCACCAAGGTGGAAGGCCCCGGCCAGCAGTCCAGCGCGTGGGGCTGGGGCTCTACGGGGTTGCGGGCGTTGCGAACATTACCCGTCAGTCTCATGCAAAGGCGCGCTCGCCGGCGTCCATTCCGACGCACGCGTGTCGTTCTGAAATTCAGAAATGCCCCGCCATGCCCCGCCATGCCCCGCCATGCCCCGCCACCCCCGATTTTGCGAGGAAGGCACCCCTGTCCGTGTCCACGGTTTGCGCGTCCCCGAAATCCATTAGCATTCCGTGTCTGGCGGGCAGGCCTCCCCGCGTGCCGCAGAGAGCGGCCCCGCCCCGCCCCGCCCCACCCCGCCCCGCACGGACCAGCGGAAACGTGCCGCTGAATTTTTCACAACATTCTTCCGGGAATGATGAATGAAGAATCCCCCGGGCGGCGCGGCGAACCCGAACCCGCCCAAACCCGAACCCACCCAAAGCAAACCCGAAGCCAACCCCGAACACACTCAAATCGCCGAACCCGCCCGAACCCCACCCCGAACGAGAACGAGGATTGATCGCGTGCATACGCGATGATTTTCAGATAGCCGCTGTCGCGGCCGACCTGTCTTTCAGCTCTTTTAGCCCCCCCCCCCTTTTCCTCCCCTTCCCCCCTCCGGTGACGGGGCCGCACGCCCGGACGCGCTTGTATATGAATGAGATTTCTGAATGACAGCAGACCAGCCAGACCCACCCCAGCTCCGCCCCCACCACCCTGCAACGCGGGGAGCGGATGGTTGCGGACAGGGGGGGGGAGAGGAAGGGAAAAAAAGAGACTGAGAGAGCGAGAGAAAGAGAGGGAGAGATGGGGAGAGGGGGAGGAGGCTCTCTCGCCCCCGCCCTCCCGCTACGCGTCGCGGGGGTGCCTGAGGTGGCGCAAGGACAGGACAGCCCAGCACAGCCCTGAATGATGCCCCTGTCCGTTACATCCCCGCTCCGGCGCTCCGGCGCGCCGCCTCGCGGCCAGGCAGCCAGGCTCCTCTCCTGCACTGTAAGTGCTCCTGTTGTGGAAAGGGCGGTCGATGCGCAATCCGAGCCAAACGGATGGATGGCACGAGAGCGGGAGGGGCCTCTCCTTCCGAGCGAAAACAGAAACGACTGGCTGATAAATTAGAGCTTTTTATTTACAGTTTTGAGTGTACAACGTATTCACATTGATATCGCGACACTTGCTTTCGTACGGCGGTTTATTTTTCTTTTTTTTACGAATCAGTCATTTACACGCATTTACTTATTTGTAACCTTCTCAGATCGTTTCTTAACAAATATTTTCATCGTAGATAAATTTCTACTTCGCTAGGGATTGTACGAATTGCACTTCGTACACCGAAACCACACTCGTTCTCTGGCTGTCAGGTAGATACTTTACTATGTACAACACGAATAGGATAGTAAGGACTACGATGACGTATTGAGCACGACGGACATCTCAGCGAAACTCCCCGACCGCATCGCACTAAGGGCTGGCGGACAAGACCAGCCCCTGCACAAAGCTTCAAGAAGTGCGTCGCGCTTCTCAGCCGAAGAAGCGCGCACACTTCCATACAGAATAAATTAACTATACTCTACATGATTAAACCTAGACCACTTGCAGTATCTTCTCTCCCACGCAGTCAATATTCAAAGTGTTGACTATCATTGTATAACAAACGTCGTTACATTTTTACATAGGCATTAATGGCAGCTTTGCTGATCGACAGATTTCGTCAATATGGCATTGAGGGGACTTTGAGAGTGTTGGCTGGGTTGGCACGCTCGGTGCGCGGCGTGGGTCCGGCTTCGATGTTCACCACACTGGTCGCGGCGGACTACGCGCTGCTGAATGGAGGGCGGGGCTGGGTGGGCCGCCACGCGTGCAACAGCACGAGATACGGAGATAACGCGGCAACGCGGCCCGCCCGCGGTGGCTCTGTCTCTCTCGCACCGCCTCGGAGCGCCCCGCGAGTGCGAGAGAGACAGAGCGAGGACCGCTCTGTTCGGCATCGGGCTGCGGTTTCGGCCACGGGCTGCGGGTGCACGCGTCCTTGTCACGCGCGTGCCGCTGATGCCCGGACCGGCCCGGACGTGACGGAGGCTCGGCGTCGAGGAGTCGCCGGCGGCCTCGGACCTAAGGCCGGTGGCTGGTGGCGCGCCTCTTGGCGCGGTGCCGCAGCGCCGTCAGCGGGAACACGAAGCAGGCCAGCAGGGCGAAGGCGCCCCAGAAGACGGCCAGCGCGATGGCCGGCCAGGCCAGGGCGCCGGGCTCGGGCCACGTGGTCCTGGAGGCCGCCGTCACCACGCCGCTCGGCCCCGCCGGGCTGCCCAGCAGCGACAGCGCCGCCGCGTCCAGCCCGGGGCCGAGGCCGTGGTACTGCAGCGCCGCGGTCACGTTGGGCGGCGGGCACGGCAGCTGTACGATGATGTCCTGGTGCTGCACCTGCAACCAACCACCGCGGCGTCAGTCTCGGTGACCCCAGCGGTGCGCCGGGGCGGAAGGCAACCCCTCGGGCGGCGTGGCTCACCTGCTTGTTCCTGCACATGATGTTGGCCACGCTGGCGGCCACCACGTCCGGCGCGTACTCCCGGCGCGCCAGGGTCGGCAGCACCCAGCGCATGGGCGAGGCCAGGGCCGCGTACTGCAGCCAGGGGTGGGCGGCCAGGTCGCGCTCGTGGAGCAGCGGCCCGGACAGCAGCGCCAGGGGCAGCAGCAGCAGCCCCGCCAGCAGCCCCGCCGCGCGCCGCGACCGCAGCGCCGTGCTCAGCGCCACCAGCAGCGACTGCAGCGACAGCAGGTACAGCAGCGAGAACCCTGAACAGAAGACTGTCGTTACCAAGGACTTCACCACGGCACTGCGAGCGCGTGTGGCATGAAGTACGCACCGGTGTAGATGTAGAAGGCGTTGGGGTCGGTGGCCTGGTTCTGCAGCCCCGTCATGGTGTAGGCGGGCACCACGTAACCGGCCCAGATGACGGCGGAGGGCAGCAGGCCGGCCAGGATCTGGAACAGACAAGGCGGAACGGTGCGGTCAGGGGCAGAGCTGGGCTGGGCCACGTGCGATAATGCCTCGCGGCGATACTCCGCGCGTCGGCGGCAGTGCCGGGGGTATCGCCGCGAGCGCAGAGTGACGTCATCGCGCACCTGGCTGAAGATGTAGACGATGCGGCCGTACAGCCGGTCCCGCACGTCGTCCGCCACGGCCCGCCACCACGTGTCGCTCCAGCCGGACTGCAGCAGCAGCAGCGGCCAGGGCATCACGACGAGCGTGGCGTACAGGAAGCCGACGCGGTCGCCGAGCAGCAGCTGCGGGTCGGAGGCGGCCACGTCCCACCAGACGACGCCGAGGCACAGTGACAGCGCCACGGCCAGCACGAGGTGCGACAGCCACCGCGACAGCGCGCCCGGCTGCGCGTACACGGCCCAGCACACCACCAGCGCCGTGGCCTGCTTCAACACGTTGGCGCTGCGCACTGACGGCGGCAGACCCGCCGGCGCGCCCGGGTCGGACAGGGGCTCCTCCCGGCGCCGGAACACGTCGGCCAGCTGCTCGATGCGCTGGCTGGACTCCAGCATGGCCTCCGCCGAGAGGTCGTCCAGTGTCACCAGGTCCACTGTTGGAAAAGCAAAAGTCAGCCAAAACCACGATTTTGACATGCACAATAAAACAGCGAGTGATTATCCCGTCGGGTGCTTGACTCACGGTAGTAGTCCGAGGGGTTCTTGTAGGCGGGGCACGGGTACTCGGCGCTGGCGAAGTAGGGCAGCATGTCCCTGCGCCGGCCGCAGAACATGAGCCTGCCCTTGGACACGAGCGCCACCCTGGACAGCATGGTGAAGATCTCGTAGGTGGGCGGGTGCAGCGTCATGATGACCACCCTGCCCGTCATGCTGCCCGCCGTGTGGCCCGCCCACTGCCGCAGGAACTCCACCAGGAAGAAGGTGTCGAAGATGTCCATGCCGGCGGTGGGCCGGTCCAGCACCAGCACGTCCGTGTCCAGCAGCAGCTGCGTGGCCACGGACAGGCGGCGCTGCTCGGACGTCGTCAGGGACCACACCTTTGTGTGCCGCACCTGCTCCAGGCCCAGGTCCTCCACCAGGGCGGCGATCTGCGCACAGCCAAGTGTCAGGAAACAGAAGTACAAACAGTGGTTGCCGTGGCGCGCCGCGCGGAGCGCCTGCCATACGAAGCCTAGGCAACCCGGCTGCACGGCCGCCGCGCGGGCCTGCCTACCCGCCCCTGTCAAGCTCACCCTGTCCTTGGTGTCCGTCTTGGCGCCCTGGTAGCCGGGCCGCCGCAGCCAGTTGGTGAAGTAGAGCGTCTGCTCGACGCTGAGGTGCGGGTTGAGGGTGCGCTCGCTGCGCACGTAGGCCACGCGCCTGCTGAGCTGCCCCCGCGAGAGGCACTGCCCGTTGAGGAGGATGTCGCCGTGCACGCGGCCCGCCAGCCGCGACTGGCAGCCCGCGATGGTGTCCAGCAGCGCGGTGCCTTCCTCGCCTGGAGAAAAAAAGGGAAGCTCAGTCGGGATTCGAACCACGGACTCCCTGGACGTCGGAAGTGCACTTACCGGAAGTGGCCATGATGGCCATGAGCTCGCCGCCGCGCACCTCCAGGGAGATGCCCTGCAGCAGCAGGCTGCGCTTGTGCCGGCGGGACTCCACCTCCAGGCCGCGGACCTGCGGGACCCCAAAGTTAGCACCGCCAGATTTCTCATACTCGGCGGGAGTTCCCCAGGGATCGCCGTCGAGGGCAAACCGGGCAAGCCTTTGCACGTACCTGCAGGTGGGGGTAGGGGAACGGCTGGGCCTCGGGGCCGAGGTCGGACAGCCCGGGGCCGGGGCCCGGGTAGTAGGGGTGGCCGAGGTCCGAGATGGCGGTGACCTTTGACGCGCCGCCGTCGTCCAGGTGGGAGAGGCCGCGCCTGCTCAGCGCCAGGGAGGCGTGGGACCCCGCCTTGGACATGGGCCGCCGGCCGCTCAGCCTGCAAGCGTAGCGATCCGTAGGTCAGACAGCAGCAGCGAGGAGCACAACGACACGACGCAACGACATGCCATGCCCCCACTCCCCCCCACTCCCACTCACCCCGGCGGCGTGTGTGCGTGCTCCAGGTCGCGGAGTTCGGCGCCCCGCAGGTCGTGGACGCTGCGCCGGTGCTCGTGCCGATACATGTTCTCGGGGCTGAGCAAGTTGGCCTCGCTGCTGCTCTTGGCGCGCCACGCCTCGCCACGCCCGCCCTGCCGCGCGCCGGCCTGCAACAGCATTGCCCTTTCGCTCACCTTCTTCGGGACACGTTTCAATGCAAAGCATGATCCGCGGCACGGCCCGCGCGTCGATACCCCCCGCGCAGAGACTCCGGTTCCGGGACGCGCGCGGGGTATCGCCGCTAGCAGTAGCTACTCACCCCCGAGTAGGGCCTGGGCTGCTGGCTGGGGTGCGGGGGGTGCGGGGGGTGTGGCGTCTGGGGCGGGTGGCTACGGAAGTCCGGGTCGCTCCTCGACCGGAGGCCGTAGCGGGGGCCGTGGCCGCCAGGGTGGGCGCCCTGGTCGTCGCTGGAGTCGTACCCGCTGGAGCCGTCTCTACCCCGCGACGGCGGGAACACTCGCGGGAGCCCGAACTTGAGGTAGGTGTACATGTTGGCGCCGAGCGCGGACCTGGAAGCAGCGAAGCAGGACTCGATGACGCTGCGCCCTTGCGGCCACACACCACGCTATGCGACCGGCTACTCACTTGGGCCCGTAGCGGGGGTGGCTGAGGATGGAGTGCACGGTGGAGTCGCGGAGCTGGAAGTTCCCGTAGGGCAGGGGCGACTTCTCGCTGGAGCCGAGCGCCGAGTCGGTGAAGTCCGAGTTGAGGTTCTGGCGGTAGATGGACCAGGCGTGCAGGTCCTCGGAGTTGGAGGGCACGGCCAGCCCCGAGTGCGACCGCTGGTGGTGGTGGGGCCTCGGCGGCGGTCCCGGGGGCGGTCCCGGGGGCGGCGCCGGCGAGGGCGGCTCGTGGTAGCCGTGTGGCGCCAGGGCGGTGGACGAGCGGTGGTGGGCGGGGGCGGGCGGCACGGAGTAGCGCCTCTCCATCGTGTTGAGCTCCCACGCCCCCTGTGGGGCCCCTTGTGACGGCATCCTCGCGAAGAGGACCTCCTGCAAGCAATCCAGCGGCCAGGCGTCAGATTCACACGTGTCCTGTAAACGCTGAAGCAACCGGATGGAAGGGGTGGGGGACCGGACTTTGAGGTCAGCTCGGCGTTGTCGTAACTCATTCCCTGTTTTCCCGCGGATTCGACCGCGCCTTGCCAATTAGCGGCAACGGCACCGCGGCCAAGAAGGCCAAGAAGGCCAAGAAGGACGAGCAGTGCGAGCAGCGCCTCAGGTTTCCCCGCGGTTCCCTGGCGCCGTCCAGGTTCGAGTCCCCGAGCTGCGAGGGTCCCGAGCCCGCCGCTAATGCTGCGGTACGAGTTTGCGGCGGTGGCGGCCAGGCCGGTTGGGTGCCGGCCGCCACTGCCGGGGCCGGGGTTGGTACAGTTTGAGCTCCTGCCCGCTTGGCGCGGCTTGGCGCGGCTTGGCGCGGCGGCCCGGCCGGCATACGGTCTGCGGTCGCCGAGCATCGCGAAGCATCGCCAAGCATCGCCAAGCCACACCTGCAGGTGCAGCCGGTAGCCAGCTACAGGTGCGCGCGCCCAGCAGTCGCGCTGTCTCTCTCGCACCTACACGGGACGCCCCGTGAGTGCGAGAGAGACAGAGTGGCCGGTCTGGGGCGCCGGGTTCATCCCGCCGCCAACGGCGTCCTCGGCTTGGCCGGCTCGCCGCGGCGGTTAGCGGCCACGGCGGCTGGCGGGGAAGCGGGTTTCAATTGCCGGTGCCTGTTGCCTACCTCCGCCACTACAGCGTAAGGCACTACACTCACCTGTGATCACCTGGCGGAGAAGGGTGAGCGATTCCTACACCGCAACTTCATCTCGTCATCTGCAAGCAGAGAAGAAAAAACACCATGAGTGACAGCGTCGGAGTTTACGGTATACGTCGGCGTGGGTATGGCTCGAGTGAAGTAGTACACTGTAGCGCAAGCAACCTAACATCATGTTCGGTCATTCGACGGCGTTAATCGAGGGTCCACGTGGACGACGTGGGCGCCGCTCCCTCTTCGTCGCTCTGTCTCTCTCGCACAGCTACGGATCGCCCCGCGAGTGCGACAGAGACAGCGAAACGGAGTGAGTGTGCTGGGAAAGGGGTGGGCCGGGGCCGCGGGCCGCAAACAATGGGCCGGCGAAGCAGGCGAAGCAGACCGCCTGGCTGCCGCCTGCCGCCATGCTGCGACCATACTGCAGCCGCCTCCGTCTGGCGGGCAGCGCGGGCAGCGGGCGCGGCACGACATCCTACGGGAACCTAACCTCCTCGTCCGCGAGGAGCGTGCCGCGTGTGCCGCGTGTGCGGCGTGCGGAGATACTATGCGAAAGAAAGGCGGCGGACCCAAGGCCTGCCTTTGAAGCCAAGCCTTTGACTTTGACGCCTAGGCGCGGTCCGGGCCGCGGCTGTGTGGGCTGGGCCGCGGTGGCGCGGTGCGGCACGACACTGCAGGAGGCCGATTCTGAGTATTCGAGTGCCGCCTTCGCTGCCTTCGCTGCCTTCGCCACACCGCGGCCACCTCCTTCGCCGCCTCTTAGCCACGCACGAGCTGAGCGGCTGGGTCGGCTGGGTGCACCCGCGGCAGCCGCGGCGCGCCGCCACGCCACGCCACGCCACGCTAGGGCAAGGCACGCCACGCCACGCCACGCCACGCTAGGGCAAGGCACGCCGCGCAGGGCACGCCGCGCAGGGCACCAGGGCCGACAACCTGGCTGCCTACGCATCACTGCCCCGGGGCCCAGCCCGGCGGCGGCCCGGCGGCGGCCCGGCGGCCGAGGAGAGGAATTTCCTCCAAATGACACAGCCCCGGGAGCGGGGGCCCCAAATTGCGTGTAGTTTTCGAAGCAGGAAAAAAAATGGTTGGAAAAAGAGGCGGCCGGCGAGGTAACGAGGAGACTGGGGATTGAAGGCGGAGGCGCGGACTGAAGGCGCGACGCGACGCCGATATTGAAACCACGCACAGTTCGCAGTGGAGTGGCGCTGGAGAAACTGGAGAAATGGCGGCGCGGTAACGCGTTCCATAATGCCTCGGAAAGAACAAGGAACGGGGAACAAGGGCCGCGAGGGAAAAAGAGAGACAGACAGAGGGAAGGGGTGATAGTATTGTTCTGCGGCTGTCTCGCTCCCTGAGCCTGCAGGGCCTGCAGGGCCTGCAGCGTGCTCTCGGGCCGCGCTGGCCGGGGCTCGCGTCGCGGCTGCCCTCCAGGCGCCTCCAGGACTTCTGGGCCCTCGAGCAGACAGCGGTCTCTTGCTCGCACTCGCGGGGCGCCACGAATGGGTGCGAGAGAGACAGACTGCGACGCTCCGCGCCGCCGCCAGGGCCCGCCGACACAGTCCTTTGAGCAAAGTAGCAATGGCCAGCAGTCTTGCAACACCGACTTGCCGACTTCCCGTCCCGCGGAGCCAGGCAGCCAGGCAGCCAGCTCGACTCGCGGGCAGCGGGTGCGTCCAAGGCGTCCGGGGAGGAAGGGGAGAAAGGCTTTCAGGAAAAAGCCGCTGGACAGCGTAAATTTCAGTTTTATTTTCGACGGAGTGGGACCTGAAAGTTTTTCAACGTCGGGGGTAAAAGATCTACTTGAAAGGATATTTTACAAACCTCATGGACTTGAAAGGTGAGGACTCCACGCCCCCGGCGGTACGATGCGCCCACCAGGCACAGACAGTGGCACAGTCCCCGGCCCCCGAGAGTGTGACGCCGTGACGCCCCACCCCTTTGGCGACGCGCACCGCACACGTATCATCAGACGCTAAACGGCTCGCGACTTCTCGCTCTGAAAAGAATAACTGAATTTGTCTTCTCGTTTAGTGGGAAATGCCGCGTGTCTCTCCGGCCGTTGCCGTCTCGCATGCACCGCTAAGCGTCAAGCGTCACATCGGAAGGGCTGCGCGGAGTAACCCTGGAGCCTAGCCGGCTGGGCTGGCGGCACCGCGCACGCGTGTCTGTCTGTCCGTCTGCCTGTCCGTCCGTCCGTCCGTCCGCCCGGTAATTACGCCTTAGGTGGAATGCAGCTAGGCGAGCAGACGGGGCGTGGAAGGCTGCGCCACCATTACCGCTGCATACAGTGCTGCCACCGCGCCAAATGTCACCGAGGGTCACTGGGGCACCGTGGCGGGGCGGGGCGCGCCATGTCATTCATGGCCGGAGTTGTGAATGAGCACGCGAAGCGTCCCTGGCTGCTAGTTCGACTCGCCATGTGTGTGTATGTCTGTCCCTGCCGCTCTGAATCCGAATCTGAATATGCAGCCCGCTCGTGCCGCACGCGCGCCGCGCTGCTGCCCCGGATTGCAATTGAGTCGTCCTCCGGCCGGGCCTCGTGCTGCATGTACCGCTGCATGTAGATGACCCCGCCCTCCGCGACTCCACGTGCGCCGTGACCCAGTGTGACGGAGGCTGCCGGTCCCCGGGCCCCGGTCCCCGGGCCCCGGGCGCTAACGGTGTCGCCGTGCAACCCAGCCACGTTGGTTCTTCTGAACCTCGAGAGGCCAGATTCGAAATTCGGACGTAAGTTCGCTTCCCCACGCAGTATGCGATCCTCTCTCCCGCTGAGGTCCCGTCCCGGAAGGTCCTGCCTCGGGCCAACTCACACACACTCACTCACTCTCCCACGCCGGTCCGGCCAAAAACCAGTCCGCATGGAACCACGGAACGGAGCAGGGGAGCCGGTGGGCGGTGGCGGAGCCGGGCGGGACGGGGCGGGACGGGGCGGGATCCCCAACGGTTGTGTGACCCACACTGCCTTGGACCCGGCGGCCGCCCGGCCCGGCCCCGCCGCCTGCCCTTGAATCTTGCATTCCTCTCCGTCATGTGAGTGCGCACTTGTGCGCACGGTTTAGCGTGGGGCGCTGCCTACGCCCTAGGCCAGCGGTTCCCAACCTTTTTCGGTTCGCGACCCCAAATTTGTAGCCAAAACTTTCCGCGACCCCCAGGAAAAATTTCGCGACCCCACGCGACCCCTCCTTTAGCATGCCTTTGTTACGGAGTGCGATTATCTGCCTTAGTTTGGGAGCAGTATTGCCGCAAAGTTGATCAAAACGGTCACAAATGTCTGAAAAATCGTGTTTTGGGCCGACTTTAAGCATTTACTGCGTCTGATCCGAGGCGGTAAATCGTCCTCCGTCAACGGGCAATTGGTCTTTAGACCTTCCTTTAGCATGCCTTTGTTACGGAGTGCGATTATCTGCCTTAGTTTGGGAGTAGTTTTGCCACAAAGTTGATCAAAACACGATTTTTCATACATTTGTGACCGTTTTGATCAACTTTGCGGCAAAACTGCTCCCAAACTAAGGCAGATAATCGCACTCCGTAACAAAGGCATGCTAAAGGAAGGTCTAAAGACCAATTACCCGTTGAGGGATGACGATTTACCGCCTCGGATCAGACGCAGTGGATGCTTAAAGTCGGCCCAAAACACGATTTTTGACAGACATTTGTGACTGTTTAGACCAACTTTGCGGCAGTACTGCTTCCAAACTGAGTCAGATAATTGCACTCCGTAACAAAGGCATGCAAAAGGAAGGTCCAAAGACCAATTGCCCGTTGAGGGAGGGTGATTTACCGCCTCGGATCAGAAGCACTGGATGCTTAAAGTCGACCCAAAACACGATCTTTTACACACATTTGTGACCGTTTTGATCAACTTTGCGGCATTCAAGCAGCCAGTGCTCGGCGTGTGGGCCAGCCGGGAAACCACCGCGACCCCAGGCGACCCCAGCCACCTCGCCGCGACCCCTTGAAATTTTTTCGCGACCCCGTTTGGGGTCGCGACCCCAAGGTTGGGAACCGCTGCCCTAGGCCCTCTTGGCCCCCTAGGCACCGCGCGACTTCTGGCCCACGGCAGTATTGCCACACGAGCCGCTAAAAATTCCCCCACGCCGATCCAGAGTGGTTGTCAACGTCCACCTGCATACATAGAGGCAACTTCTGGAGACTAAACGCGACCGTCTCTCGCACCCCAGGGGAACGCCCCGTGAGTGCGAGAGAGACAGCGCGATGAAACGGGCCCTCGGAATGAGTCTGCGTCGACCGCGCAACAATAACTGCGGAAGGCTGGCCGGCCGGCCGGTATGGGCCGTGCTCTTGTTCTTCCCAACGTCGCGGCCGCCGGCCGTTGTTCTATTATCGCACACCGAGCAACCGAGGAGTGCAGACTGCAACGGGCCGGCTCATTTTCACCTGTTGCGTGCAGCCCAGCGCCGGATGCAAGAGCGGTGCGCAGATTCCCGCGCATATTGACTCAAACTCCCGCCGAAATTCAAAAATGTCCCGCCCAAACGACCGTCGAGCGAAAGTTCCCGCCAAAACTGCCGCGCCGTTCGAGATCAAAAGTTTCCCGCCAAAACGTGTGCGGCCGTTTCCCATTTTGGCGGCGAAAGGGGCCGGCCTTTCAATGAGCCGGTACGGTGCACCGCAACAGGGCTGGAGAAAGTGTCTCTATCTCGCTCTATCGCTTCATGAGGCTGTCGCTGCTGTCATGTCACGAGGCTTCAGCCGCCCGCAGCCGCAGCCCGCACGCCGCGCGCGCGCCGTGGCCGAGACAAGGCGAGGCTAGCGAGGCAGCGCGCTGCCCACAATGCACCGCGAAAGTGAAGCACGCACGACGCGGCGCGGCACGCCGGGCACGGCGCAGTGACCTACTGGAGTACATTGATATCTAAGAACGGGAACGGAGTCCTGCAGGACCACAGATTGGGCGGCCGTGTGGCCGCTTCAAGTCAGCACGTGGCGCCATTTTTTCGAAAACTGTCCAACTTTGCTTCGATGTAATACACTTTGTCTATCTGAGTTTGCTGTTTGTTGCTTATTTTTCGGTGGCGCCAATGGCGGCCGCAGCAAAGGAGCC